AGCAACTTAAAAAAGAGTCAAATGTTCAGAAAATAATTTTGAAATACGAAACAATTAGCATATGAGTTTCTTCAACCTTGCTTGTAGCTTACCACAACATCAAATGCAATGTTTGTTGAGGTGTGGAAATTGCTGATCGTAAAGACGTCTAAGAGTATTTCAGTTAATAATTCGTTGCCAGCAACTGCCTGTCCTGTACTTACACCCATCCCCTGCCGTATCCTGCCAACCCCTGAGGTCCGGGTTAGAATTGGTCTCCAGCAACCCACGCTTGTGACCAACGGGATCGGGTGGTTAGGTTCGCTGACTTGGTTGTCATCGTATCCCAGTTGCATAGTTCGATGCTCGTGCTGTTGATCACTGGATTGTCTGGTCCAGACTCGAAGACTTTCAGACCGCCGCCATATAGCTGGAATATTGCTGACTGCGGCGTAAAACTAAACTCACTCCGCATAACGAGATACCACAACAGCACAACAACGGAAGACAGTAAATGTGAAATTATATGTCGAGGTGTCACGGAGCTGCTTCTTAAATCGGATGTCATTAAATAAGAAAACATGGTAAAAGTTCGCAGTTTTATTATCAGTAGCTAACTGAAACAAAAGATCTGAGGGATCAAAACCAAAATCGGCTTTGACAAGGGTCACTGATTACCAATCCACGAACAAATGTACAATCTGGTACAACTAGACTACACATGTATAACCTATATTACCAGAGATAACTGAAACCAATCTCTGACAAACACAATTGATAGGATGAATTGGCAGCCAATGATGTGTGCGTCTGTTCTCCAGAGCGAGTAACCTCGGCTTGGTTAGCTAGGGAGAAATGTGGACGAATGGCTCAATGTTCATGCTATTGATCACTGGATTGTCTCACTCACACGCTCTGAGTGGAGTATCCATGTGAAATAACGCGCACGTACACACGCGATAACGCTGTAACTGTTACGGTTTAATAGATGATCTCCATATGAACCATCATGACTATTCCGCAGCTCATCGTGTAACAAGGGGTGGTAGAGTAGTCTATTGTGTAACAAGGGGTGGTAGAGTAGTCTATTGTGTAACAAGGGGTGAGGTGGAGTAGTCTATTGTGTAACAAGGGAGTCTAGTCTATTGTGAAACAAGGGGTGGTGGAAGTAGTCTATTGTGTAACAAGGGGTGGTGGAGTAGTCCATTGTGTAACAAGGGTGGTGGAGTAGTCTATTGTGTGACAAGGGGTGGTGGAGTAGTCTATTGTGTAACAAGGGAGGTGGAGTAGTCTATTATTTGACAATGGGTGGTGGAGTAGTCTATTGTGTAACAACGGGTGGTGGAGTAGTCTATTGTGTAACAATGGGGGTGGAGTAGTCTACGTGTAACAAAGGGTGGTGGAAGTAGTCTATTGATAACAAAGGGGTGGTGGAGTAGTCTATTGTGATAACAAGGGTGGTGGAGTAGTCTATTGTTTAACAAGGGGTGGTAACTATTATTTAACAAGGGTGGTGGGAAGTAGTCTATTGTGTAACAAGGGGTGGTGGAAGTAGTCTATTGTAACAATGTAACAACGGCAGTGGTGGTGTAGTCTATTGTTTAACAAAGGGTGGTGGGAGTAGATCTATTGTGTAACAAGGGGTGGTGGAGTAGTCTATTGTGTAACAAGGGGTGGTGGAGTAGTCTATTGTGTAACAACAAGAAGGTGGTGGAGTAGTAGTCTCCATTGTGTAACAACAAGGGTGGTGGAGTAGTCTATTGTTTAAGCGTTTGCTCGTCACGCCGAAGGCCCGGGTTCGATTCCATGTTGCTGAAAACATCTAGGAAAACGACATGACAGAATCAGAATTCTATCCTACAAACATGGCGTTCTGGTCAGTCCAAGGAGCTCAGCTCTGCACAACATGTTTTAGCGCCTGAGACAACGGAGCAGTTCCTGCCCAGCTTCATTTGTAAGTTGCAGTTTTCCTTCATAAACAAAGTTCCATTAAAGTAATGCGTTTTGTTGATATTGTTTGGATTATATTCTATTTTACTTCTAGTACTTGTTAAACATTTAACATGGTCTTGAAGTGTAGCATAACATGGGCACATTTGGTGAACAAATCAAAAAGGAGTCAAATTTTCAGAAATTAAGTATTGAAATATGAAACAATAAGCATTGAGTCTCTTCAACCTTGCTTGTAGCTTACCACAACATCAAATGCAGTGTTTTCTGAGGTGTGGAAAAGCTGATTGTAAAGACGTCAAAGTGTATTTGAGTTAAATAGTTGTTGCCAGCAACTGTCTGTCTTGTAGTTACACCCATCCCCTGCCGTATCCTGCCAACCCCTGAAGGTCCGGGTTAGAGTTGGTCTTCAGCAACCCACGCTTGTGACCAACGGGATCGGGTGGTCAGGCTCGCTGACTTGGTTGTCATCGTCTCCTTAATGCGTAGTTCGATGCTCGTGCTGTTGATCACTGGATTGTCTTGTCCAGACTCGAAGATTTTCAGACCGCCGCCATATAGCTGGAATATTGCTGAGTGTCGCGTAAAACTAAACTCACTCCGCATAACGAGATACCACAACAGCACAACAAGGGAAGACTGTAAAAGTGCAATTATTTGTCGAGGTGTCACGGACCTGCTTCTAAAATCGGATGTCATTAAATAAGAAAACATGGTAAAAGTTCGCAGTTTTATTATCAGTAGCTAACTGAAACAAAAGATCTGAGGGATCAAAGCCAAAATCGGCTTTGACAAGGGTCACTGATTACCAATCCACTAAAAAATGTACAATCTGGTATAACTAGACTACACATGTATAACCTATATTACCAGAGATAACTGAAACCAATCGCTGACGAACACAATTGATAGGATGAATTGGCAGCCAATGATGTGTGCGTCTGTTCTCCAGAGCGAGTAACCTCGGCTTGGTTAGCTAGGGGGAAATGTGGACGAAGGGCTCAATGTTCATGCTATTGATCACTGGATTGTCTCACTCACACACTCTGAATGGAGTATCCATGTGAATCAACGCGCACGTACACACGCAATAACGTTGTAATTGTTACGGTTTAATAGATGCTCTCCATATGAACCATCATGACTATTCCGCAGCTCATCGTGTAACAAGGGGTGGTGGAGTAGTAGTAAGTAGTCTATTGTGTAACAAGGGGTGGTGGAGAAGTCTATTGTGTAACAAGGGGTGGTGGAGTAGTCTATTGTGAAACAAGGGGTGGTGGAGTAGTCTATTGTGTAACAAGGGGTGGTGGAGTTGTCCATTGTGTAACAAGGGTTGGTGGAGTAGTCTATTGTGTAACAACGGGTGGTGGTGTAGTCTATTGTGTAACAACGGGTGGTGGAGTAGTCTATTGTGTAACAACGGGTGGTGGTGTAGTCTATTGTGTAACAAGGGGTGGTGGAGTAGTCTATTGTGTAACAAGGGGTGGTGGGGGGTGGTGGAGTAGTCTATTGTGTAACAACGGGTGGTGTAGTAGTCTATTGTGTAACAAGGGGTGGTGGGGTGGTGGGGTAGCCTATTGTGTAACAAGGGGTGGTGGAGTAGTCTATTGTGTAACAACGGGTGGTGGAGTAGTCTATTGTGTAACAAGGGGTGGTGGAGTAGTCTATTGTGTAACAAGGGGTGGTGGAGTAGTCTATTGTGTAACAACGGGTGGTGGAGTAGTCTATTGTGTAACAAGGGGTGGTGGAGTAGTCTATTGTGTAACAAGTGGTGGTGGAGTAGTCTATTGTTTAAAGCGTTTGCTCGTCACGCCGAAGGCCCGGGTTCGATTCCCCACATGTAAAATCCATTTATTGAGTCGTGATATTGCTGCAATCTTGCTAAAATCCGACTCACTCTGTTTGACACGTCTTACACTGTTGATATATCAACACAGTAAGCATGAAAAATGTTTATTCACAGTATGTGCAAAAGTAAGCAAAACAAACTGAATATGGCTTCGTTTTTCATGAGTGTTTACAGTCATGCGGAAGAAATTATTATCAATGATTTTTGTTTTGAAACTAGATTATCATTTTGCTGGTCAGAATCCGAAAACATAACAACATTTGGAATCTAGAGAAAGGCACGAATGGATCTTGTATGTCCTGTGAGGAAGAGGGGCTGTGGTATGACGAAATGACACCTGCACAGGCACAACCACTGACAGACAGCAAGAAACTTGATCAGTTTTAGCTATATCTTTACCATAAAATTCACAGAAACAATATAAGAATATATCAGGGTATTCTATCAAAGAAATATTATTAAATGTCTTCATGTTTTTGATAACTGTGAAACACATAAATAGTTGCAGCTATACATAAAGTCTATCAATGTCGGGTCTAGTAGTAATAGTGTTATCCTACCTTGTAAGCTACAAGTTTGTGATTGGTGTTTTCCAGTCTTTCCCACAAACAGATATATATGTCATATTTCTTGCACGGAAATGCTTAGCATAGCCAAATGCAATAAAGGCCGATAACTCTAGATATGGTACATGTCTGGTAGTTGTCAAAATGTCCGTGAAACGGTTGGCGAAACTAACAATTTGATCGGCATTCTAGAAGTTGGTGAGTGAAGAGTAATAATGAAGCATGCGACCTTATGGATAACAATTTCCTGTTTATTGTTTCGTTGTAGATTCTTGCAGAAGCTAACTCTTGATAACTATATAAGAATCTACACCGAAACTTAGCGCTATACAATAAGCAAGAAGTTGTTATCCATAAAGTCGTATGATATATTATGTTGAGCTTGACGTTTTACATAAAACAGCAAAATAAGTGCTGATCAAATGTGTTTGTCAACCACTCCCTCCAGGTACTTGTTATGGCGTTCCCTGTGTTTCAGCCTTTGTACTGCACATGATACATCACGCACAGATGTACATTTTGTCACAAACAGGGTACATGCCAACATGTGTCCCCCCCCCCATCCCCCGAGACCAGTCCACAACTGGTATGTTCTACACGATGCACAACTTCACGTTCAGCCATATTGATCTATAGATATATCTAAAACAATTTACAGACAAAGGTGACAAGTAACGCCACGACAGCAGCAACGACGACGTGTAGTGGCTGACTACGTCCCCCGGTGCTAAATGCCTTGTCCTCGTACACAAGAGTTGCCGCTCCGTCGTTGTTCACGTCAATGGCCAGAGCCCCCATATTTCCGTTCACAGAAAACCACATCTCCACTTTCTCCTGTTTCGCTCCTACCATGTCGATGGTGATGACGTTGCCGACGGTAACGTTGAGAACACGTTGTCGTGACATTGGTATCCATTTATCCAGTTCGCCCATGATCAACACTTCCTTGTTACTGTACAAACATAAGTCTCGTTAGTTGTTTATTCTTTTACTAAAATTAACATATTATAAGTAACATAATATTGATGACGTAACGCTATCGTTGTTGCAATGGTTTCTTACTCTTTATAATAGGATATTTATATAGCGCACATATTCACGCACTAGTGCATGCTCGAGGCGCTGGTATTTTCCCCCCCCGATCATTGGATGTCAATCTCAACTACACATCTTATCTCAACTCCCGGGGGAGCATACAACTCTTGCTGCCACAAGGCGCACTGAGTTATTGCGGCCTTACCATCGTTACGAGGTACCCATTCACAGCTGGGTGGACTGGGACACATAGTCACAGTGCTTTGTCCAAGTTTAATGCACGTTGCTGTACCCGCAACTAGGTGTTTGCACGTATTCATGTGGCCACCATCTGGTCATATACCAACGGATTCGTGGGTACTTTTAAGTGCACAGGGTTGTGTACTGTACGCTAGGGGTTGTGACAACACTGAAAGAGTCTGCACACAAAGTTGCCTCCAAGTTTTTTTACACCCGGTCACAGGTGGGCTCGATCCAAGGAACTAATTTACTTCGTCATTCTGAACGTGCATTCTTTGAAACTATTGGTCATTATGCAACCGTTTCAGGAATGATATTACAATCATAAAAAGGTATACATCGATTTTCTATTAAGGGAAATGTCCCAGTCAATCTGTGCTGGCCGTAAGAGGCGACTAAATGGATCACGTTGTGATATCTGTTTTGTTTTTGTTGGTGTTTTGTGTGTGTAAAAGTTAAATATTGGAATACATCTTTTTACCGAAGGGTCGCTTATTCAAACGTAAACATACATGTTCAATTAAGGGTGAAGCAACCACAAACATGGTAGGATGGACCTACTTGAGGTTAATGATCGGGGACGTGTAGTAGAGGCAGTAGGTGTCGGCGGTGCAGCCAGTCAGTGTGAAGGGTTTGTCGTCGGAGAAGTCGTGCTGCTGACGGGGATCCTTGGCGTTGAAGATCTTACTCTTGGCATCCTGAAACAATTTTATTTGAGGGGAGAGGGGTATAGATGATGACTCAAGCAGTGCCATTCAGGACACAGTGAGCGATGTGTTTAACGCCACTTTGATCTATATTTTATTATTTTATTATACCATGCACAGTTATGGAAATGTGCACAAATGCGGTTAGTGAGTGAGTGAGTTTAGTTTTACGCCGCACTCAGCAATATTCCAGCTATATGGCGGCGGTCTGTAGATAAACAAGTCTGGACCAAACATTCCAGTGATCAACAGCATGAGCATCGGTCTACGCAACTGGGAACCGATGACATGTGTCAACCAAGTCAGCGAGCCTGGCCACCCGATCCCGTTAGTCGCCTCTTAAGACAAGCATGGGTTACTGAAGATCCGGACCTTCAAGGGTACAAATCAGCGTTCGAAATACCTGCCTGCCCCACCGCCCGGGACGGGTTATTTGCAACACGGACTGCCAGATTCTCAAATTCACCAGCCCGACGGTCGGGTTAAAATTTAGACATGTACCATAAGAAGATAGTTTGTGGGTAGGTAAGTTTTGGTCAGGGCTGGCAAGTTTTACATCTAACCAGCCCTGTGGTCTGGCTGAAAGTTTTGGGAGTTTCATACCCTGGTACATATGCGGCTAGATAGCAGACAAGAGGCACAGATTGGTGTGTATAAACGTCAGGATTTCAAGGATTTGAACCCACGACAGCGGACTGTCTTTCTACACATCGCCACTGACCACTGAGTCCCTCAGTCCGAGCCTTTCTGAGTAAACAGGAGAAACGCACCGTTTAATATCACGGAGGCTAGGAATTTAGCTGGGTATATATCCTTGGTCATTGCCTCAAAACATGGGATTTGCGTCTTCGAAAGACGAATATATGCGTTTTGTTAAACACCGGATCGGAAAGGACCAAGTCTGGCTTATCCCCAGCACGCTCTTGATTTTTGTTCTTATTGTCCGTCAAATCGCCATAAGAAGCAATACCGCAGCGTCAAATCGCCGTACGAAGCAATACCGCAGCGATTTGACGGACAGTCAATAATAGGGTTTGGACCAGACATATGCATCTATTACAGTCGTAAGATGTTGGGTGCGTTGCAAGCAACAAACAGCTCAGTGTGAGCAAATTCATCGATCAGCCTGGGTCTGCTACAGCTCGAATAAAGCTATTGCTCCTCTAAAGTGGCGACTACTGAGAGCTTGGCCTAAAGTAAAATGTAACAGAACAGGCTCGATTACGAAGCGATGAATTGTTCACTACAGGTGACTATTGCTATGTGAAACAGACCTAGAATGGTGCTATGTATAATATAGCTGCCTTTATCCGTTTTCCAGTTTACCTATGTAAGAATTACGCGAATCTCCAAATTACGTCAGACGTCCTTTTGTTTTGAGAGCAAAGAGACCTCGGCCAGCGATTGGCCTGATTGTAAGGGGTTGAACGTGAGAGTCCCGTTGTTATGCTAATCGCTGTACACTGCTTACAATCGTTTTACTGTTACAGGCCCTTGCTGATTGCGGATCATAGAACATCGTCGGCGAGGAAAGATGCTTAGTTTGTCTGTGGTTTGTCTATTACTTAAACACAGCCATGATTATAGCAAGAAACATGCACGTATTACAAACACACACATCTATAGTATTGTGATCTACCTCAAACGTGAGACCAGCGATAGAGGGTGTGATGGCGTATGAGCCTTGTAGATTGGAAGCAAAGATGATACCAAACGTTAGATCAGGACCAGTCCCCATCTTAGTGACGGTAGAAAAAGTCGACCACACTTCACCAACTGGGCCGCTGCCATCTTGGAACGCCCTCTACAAGGGAGATAACTTTCGATACCTCATGATGTTGGAAAGTAGGTTTAACCGAGCAGTTAACCAGTTCAATGTCGGCTGAAATATTCTTTAGGTTTTCTTACATATATCATGCGTAAATATTGTAAGTTATTGTTCGATGAACAAAATGTTACAGTTTCAAAATGTAATGGAAATGTACGTTATAATGTATAAACTCTATTTGGGTTTATAGACAGTTTAACATTTCCTTGGTAACCCCACCTGTATGAGCTGGGCGTCTACGGCAACAATTGGGTAGTCCGGTCTCAAAATAGTGCCATCTCGGAGGCAGCTCCTGAAGGGGTATGTAGGGGATAGTGACTGGATATAACACTAACGTCATTATCACAACATCGCCAAGAGATCAAGCATAACAAGGTAGCCATCTATCAATAAATGAGGTCTGTGAGCCTTTAAGGCAAATGTGCCCTAAAATGGAATTCCCTTTTGCACAGGACGAAATATCCGATGACTAGAAGAATGCGTTATATTTAATTTGTCAGTCCCCATATTTGATGAAAAGAAAATATATGCAACAAAATGCTTTTAAAATAATAAAACAAAACTGAATCCTGAAAAAAATACCGGTGATAGAAAGGAATATGTGTAACTGTAAATATGGGAAAAGTCTTTGACGACCGACGTAATGTAATTCTAGAATGTTTTGTTGTTTAACGCCGCCCAAGTATGGATATTATGAGTGATGGATATTATGAACAACAACTGACTGGGTACGACGCAATGAACCACTCGATCAAATCAGGCAACATATAAAAGAACTAGGAATCCCCACGGCGCCACGCTGCAAAAGTGAAAGTATATATACAGAAGTATCTTCCACCTACAGAGCATGGTGGCGTCGCACTGGGACTTGGTTGTACTCACTTCATGATGAGCGTTGTGTTGGCCTTCCAAGCCTCGTCGCCAGTCTCAAACGTTCCCTTACTGAGGGAGGAGATCAGGCTCTGCCGCTCCGAGTTTGGGTCCCCCAGAGCTGAAAACACAGGATTGTCATACATACATGTAGGTGAAGCCTTGTATGCATGGAAAACTGACAACAGAGCGGCCCCATCAATGCATGGACTTCAGGCATTAAGGACTTTCTGAATTTAATTGTTTGTTTGGGACGACTTTTTAAAACAATCCTGTAGAATAGAAGTGAAATCAAACTCTACGATTCATTTTTTGATTGTGTAAGAATAAAGGCTCAGTGGGATGAGGTGAGTGAGTGAGTTTAGTTTTACGCCGCACTCAGCAATATTCCAGCTATATGGCTGCGGTTTGTAAATATCGAGTCTGGACTAGACAATCCAGTGATCAACGGCATGAGCATCGATCTGCGCAATTGGGAACCGATGACAGCGAGCCTGACCACCGGATCTCGTTAGTCTGCTCTTACGACAAGCACCGGTTACTGAAGATCAATTCTAACCATGGTCTTCACGGGTCCAGAGGGATGAGGGATAAATATAAAATGTTCAAGTGTTTTCTCGACATTGTTTTGGACATTTGGCAGACATGTTTTATTCTTTACACATGAACAATGTTAAAAGCGCTTGTGAAGCTCTGAATTGTAGTATGGGAAACAATAATTGAGTAATCTTAATGATTATTTTCCACTTTCCACAGTCAGAGTGTGAAATAATCTGAAACGTTAACGCGTGGTTATAAGGTTCACGTAGATAATTACGAACAAGTAGTGAGTGAGTGAGTGAGTTTAGTTTTATGCCGCACTCAGCAATATTCCAGCTATATGGCGGCGGTCTGTAAATAATCGAGTCTAGACCAGACAATCCAGTGATCAACATCATGAGCATCGATCTGCGCAATTGGGAACCGATGACATGTGTCAACCAAGTCAGCGAGCCTGACCACCCGATCCCGTTAATCGCCTTTTACGACAAGCATAGTCGCCTTTTATGACAAGAATGGGTTGCTGAAGACCTATTCTACCCCGGATCTTCACGGGTCTACGAACAAGTAACAAATAACAAACTTGCATCATTCTTGTGAACATTCCACTTGCAGTATCCGCCAACAAATAGAAAGGGATAAAACGACGTAAAGTGCACTCGCGTTTAATATGGACAGACGAGAGATTAATAGCATGAGTAACGGTTTTTATGGGCACCACAACACATTATTAGCCAGAAATGGGTTAGGTTATTTCGACGTGTAGATTATATCTGTTATAACATGGAATGCTGTAGGAGATCCGAGACATTTACCATACCATGGGCCTGGTGGAGACAATTGTAAGGAGAATCTCTGACAACTGGCGTCAATGTAACCAGTAATTGCATATCATCAATAGTGACATTAACTATCATTATCTCAGTAATAGTTGATACCATCTTCGTGAAGCTGGGACAGAAAACCGTCCTTAGATATGGCGACTTGAAGACCACTGGCGAATATAGACGTCAGCCCTATCTTCCACTGGTCCTTGGACACGCCGTAGTTGGGACTCACTCGAATCTGGTAACATGGAAGCAACGTTCACCATAGGGTATGATTACAGAGTCACATATGTCAGAGCTCTTGTTGTTTAACGGCGACGGTCTGTAAATATTCGAGTCTGGACCAGACAATCCAGTGATCAATACACAATTGGGATACGATTACATGTAACAACCAAGTCATCGTGCCTGACCACCTGATCCCGTTAGTCGCCTCTTACGACAAGCACGGGTTGCTGAAGATCAATTCTAACCCGTCATATATGTAAAAATATGCATGACTATTATATTGGGTTTCCCTGTTCTTTGTCTGTTCTTTGTCTGTTATTTGTCTGTTATTTAACTTCGAACACTAACGTTCGTGTTATTTGTCAATGGTCTGTAACTAATTGACCTGACAAAGAAGTGGATCCGCAATTGGGACACAATATCAGATACTCTGAGATTTATGTACTCAGTCGGGGAATGGTCGGGTCAAACATGTCATCGAGACTATAAAACTTGTGGATTATGATACCACCTTTGAGTAGTTTTGCTGGATTACAGTTCTAACCCGGATTCACTTGGGGTTAAGAAGTAAACAACTCGCATAAGGTGCACGCAACTGAACATGCCAACAAACGCCAACCACTTTCTGATACCTTGAAGTCATTCGCGTCATTTAGAATGATATTACGCGTGCTTCAGCTAGCAGGACTAGGCTGACTGACTGACTGAGTTTGGTTTTACGCCGCATTTAGCAATATTCCAGCAACATCACGGCGGGCTTCACACATTGTACCCATGTGGGGATTCGAACCCGGGTCTTCGGCGTGACGAGCCAACGCTTTAACCACTAGGCTACCCCACCGCCCCAGCAGGACTAGGGTTTCCTGGATGTATTCTTGGTCAATTGCCAACCACTTCGTTAGTAAGTATGTTCGGGTTGTCAGAGTTGTGACTTAACTGCGAGTAGATCGTACCCCAACGGTGTTGACCATTGCTCATATTATCAATCAAAGGATGGTTGAGCAAAATTCGAATATTTTCAAACCGCTGGGTGCGGCGTTAAGCAGCAAACAAAGACAGGACTTATAAACAAATGTTATATTTGGGATTAGTCATTATTAGTAACGTGCAATTTTAGTACCCTTTGGGGTTAAGTCGAATCCGGGATTCGAAACCTGTAACAATGACCATTATGTACCCAAAACACCGTAACTGAATATAATACAAGTATTAATCACCTACCTGTGTGACGGCGGGTATCTCCATAGCTTGCATCACCATCCGCGGGGTGGCGCCACTGTACTGGATGGTGATGTTGTGTTTGGATGCAGCGGCGCCCATGTTCATCAACCAGTTCCTGCCATAGTCCAGTTCTGTCTTCATGTAATCGAACTGACGAAATATTTCTGTCATGTTGTCCTGAAATTGTAGATATATTCAATGTACTTGACTGTTTGTTTGTATCATTTTGCATACATCACTAGAGCATAAATTAATACTGACAAATATAGGTTTACTGAGGCAACGGGTTAGGCTACGTTCTAGACGATTCCTTCATGCAACAAAACAAAGATGTGCACCCTCGTGTTCAGTTCACCAAGCTTACAATGGCCAAATTGCCTTACAGACGCTCCCGTTTCCACCACTGTCTGAAGAAAGCCAACCCATTCTGGCCAATACATTTCTTCAACCCCAAGTACGCTATAACTTCCACCCCATTAGACGAACCATCAATCTACCCTCTACATGCCCTACATCGGCAATCCAATACTTCCGTCATGTATTCAAACAGTTCAACCACCAGCTACCAAAGCTCGCCAACAAATTCATCAACGACACTCTCCAACTGACATCTAAATCCCTCATAACCGAAAACCTGACGAGAACCAATCACAATCGTCCCTTGTATGCACACCCTCATGCTATGTTAATCTTTATTCGCCACACTTGCTCACCAATGACAGGATGTCAATCATTAAATTCTTGCCATTGCCCATTCACTGTACTATAGTTTATATATCTGGCATAAACAACACATCGACTATAGACATAATATGAAAGTACTCTTGAACCTCGTTTGAGCAGTAGCCTCTGTCGAAAGAGGTTTGCAGGACCTTGCTGAATGACCGACTGAATGGGTGACACAACATCCAATTGTATCTCGGCAGTCAACACCATTCCAGCCACGTTAGTCTGCAAATATCATCGGGTCTGAACCAGGCAAACCGGTGACTGAACGAATGAGAGAAAAGGTACTATGCTTTTGACACACTTAGTCTCTCAATTGGCTCATCTAGTCTCTACCAGCATTGGTTTGTTTCAGAAAAGGAATACTAGTTTCGCTAGTTCACGCGACTAATGTTACACAATCTAGCGACAGTAGATACTTATATACTTCCATGTTGCTACAAGTACCACTGCAAGCTAATATTTATTTACCATCTATACGTTATACATTCAGACCCAACTGTTAACAAAACAAGGCGCAACAGTCGACATGCAGCTCGGGGTTTTATTTCGGTAACTGGAAAAGTCGACAGTAGCCGAACGCATATGAAGATTGCCCAGACAAGGCTGATAATTTCACAACTGGATTAACGTTCCCCAGTAAGCATACAACCGTGTATTACATAAATATCCTATAACGTACGCACACCACGTGACACAACTCACCTGAACGTAAGTCGTCATCCCCCCACTGCTTGGCTTCTCCGAAGAGGAAGTCCCAAAATGCCTGCACATATGCATAATTCATGGAAATAATGAGCAATATCAATAACATTTTGCATTTAAAAGAAGAAAACAAGATATTTCCAAGTTCAATATGAAAAAACTTCAGTTGGTAACTGTATTTCATTAAGAAAAATAATAGCATTGATATATTATTACTATAATTATGTTTTACAGGTTAAGATGAAAAATGCATCAGAGTGGGTTCGGGTTATCCTGGCACAGTCAGGCTGGTAAGGCTCCAGACAGCGATTGGGACTTCTCCCAGGAAACACTACCTAGTCGAACCCACCAAGAACTTTCCGGAGAATATGTAGACAATGGGGAGCCTGACGACAGTGTACTTGGGATGCAAGCGAGACATTTCAAAGGCGAGGTCCGCATACTTATCATACTTTTCCTGAATCTTGCCAATCACGTTGCTCCCAATAGGGACAGAAAAATCAATGATATAAACAAATTCATTGGCTTTATCAAAAAAGGACAAGATCAGGTTTGTTGGTATGAATTCTTCTGAGGCTGTATATGGACCTATTCCACAAAAGTTTGAAAGTATCATTTTCCATGACGCCCTGGACATGTTCACGGTCGTACCATGGGTGGACCTCGTAGTCAAAGCCACAGGCATGGCGGAGACGGTAGTAAAAGCAACGAGCCATGCCATCATGTCGTTTAAGATATGCTGTTTGTGCCAAGGAAGGGCATTTACTGACAAGGAGTTGGACAGTCTCTGTAAATTCATTACACGGTCGGCATTTCATGTTAATATTTTCTTTAAGAATCACACTAAGACGATTTCGAGTGGGGAGTGACTGGTCCTGAGCAGCAAAAAAGAAGCCATCAGTTTCACATTTAAGACCAGCCGACTTCATCGAGGCAAAGGAGTCGGTTGGATTACTATTCTGTTCCACATACTGCATGTACACACGAAGCAGTGGTTTCTCAGGAAGCTTCTCCACAAATCGCTGACTCTGAGTAGACTTGGTGAAGGACTTCACCTCGTTTACTCCCATCGCTGTACCGTCCAGCAGTACATTGCCATCAACAAAATCAACCTCAAATAACAGATTTTGTCCAACAACCTTGGCACTCTTAAAATAGCTGTGGAATTCCTTGCTTTCATCATGAGTCTTGACATGCATTACCAGAGGGTCATCCGATAAATAAATATGTGCAAAAGTACACAATAAAATTCTATCATGAAGAGCCTCCACATTAATCAAACCCCGCCCTCCAGCATTGATTGGCATGTATAAACGGTTAAGAGAGGGAAGAGGCTGGTGAGCTCTGTTGTCAGACATGATTCTTGTGGTCAGGCGGGCAAGACTCTGGATGTCTTGTTTCGTCCAATCAACTACTCCAAAGGAATAGGAAAGGACTGGCACAGCAAAAGTATTGGTGGCTTTGATCTTCTTTCAAGCATTTAGGTCTGAGCTCCAAATTTTCTTTAAGCGAGATTTATACTCGGCCCGAAGTTTTTCTTGAATCTGGGCTTTCTGAAGCTTGTTTCGAACTTGCATTCCAAGATAGCTGTAGGCCTGATCTTCCACGAGATGCTCAAAAACTCCTCCCCCCCCTGTAACTTGACCGATCCACCATTAACTACCTTGCCACGTTTCAAATGAAGAGTATTACATTTGTCAAATCCCAAAGTCATGCCAATATCATTATTTTTAACGCTGAATTCACTATGAATACAGTGTAGCAACGGCACGGTCTATTGACCAAATACAGTGTACCAATATCATTAGAAAAGGACTCGACAAGGAGAACCTGTTCTTTCAAATTGGCATCTCCTTTGGCAAGGAGCTCGATGTCATCCATGTAAAGGAGATGAGTAATCGGTGTTGGGGATCTGTGCTGAGGAGGTCCGGGATGGCAACCCTCCTCTTTATTGAACAGAAAGCTCAAAGGATTCAGAGATAAACTAAAAAGGGGTTTGTCAAACACCCTGTGAATATTTTATACTGAGTATTCAAACATGTGATAGGGCGGAATATTTTGGGATCAGTCAAGTCTGCTTTTTTGGGAAGGAGTATTGTGCGACGTTTTGCAGAACCATGGAGGAACATCACCTGTATCCACGAGAGATTTCAAGCAGTGAAGTAATGGTGTTTGGACACAGGGGAACAGTTTCCAGTACCGGTTTCTGATGCCATCAGGCCCTTCAGCTGTATTAGATTTGGACATAGTGATGACACTTTTCAGGCAATCTCGTGAGATGTAACAGACAAACGACCTAGTTATTTTCTCATGCATTGCAGGGTCATAATCACGGACCCATGGTGCCTCCAGGTTACAGTTGCCTGATACGGACCACAACTGTTTCCAGAACCTGTCATTGGCATCCATGGGAGGCCGCTTATCATGCTCACCATCACCGTTTGTTTTCAGTTGCCTGTAGAAAAGTGTTTTGTATTATTTCTAAAAAGTTTATTTTGTTTGATGAATTTTATTTTTATTTTCCCATTTTTTCTTTCTTTCAGTCCAAACGTTTATTTTTGCCTTTAGGGAATTTGAAGAAATATATTTTCTTTCGTTGTCTTATAGTGTAATTTTAATTTTTTCCAAATTATTATTATTATTCGTTGGACACACAAATCATAACATACCAAATACCATCATTCATTTGCTGCCCAGCCATAAAGAAAAACAATTTTCGGGTTTGAACAAACTACCAGTCGATCCTGCCTCGGGGTGTACATAGATATAACCTCGCAAGTCAGATTTGTGGTGTTTCTGCCTTACGGACAGGACTTATTTTCTCTGAAGAGATACTGTATATTGTGACTTTTAGGTTTTTCCTCTGAATATATTAGGAGAAGCTTGTTTTGTACTGTACCTCGTCTTTAGGCAGAGCCATGTCTCCAGATATGTCGAAGTTGTACTGCCCTTGGTTTTGGGTTGCGTAGATTGTATCGCTTGACCTTCAGTACGAAGAATGTGAAACAAAATCAGTATTGGTAATTTCCAGCACAGTATCGGGAAATGACGATTTCATACATGTATATTACATTGAAATTAACTTAAACAAAACAATGTTGTTTTGTTTGGTTAATGTTGGTGCGAAGTACATAATTGTGTTATTTAAAAGACATACACGATTGTGGAGTTTGCCGGTGGTATATGGTGATGTTATATACTGAAAACACACAGTGAAGTTATATTGGATGTATTTGATGATCAATTATAGCAAATACACAAGGAGATATATGGTGATGATATATTAACATTAGTGAATACAAACAAGGTCGGTGTATATATAACATGGGATATATGTAACATTATTTACAGAATACAAACGGAGGTATTGTCAATACTGGTTGTATATGTCGTGTGTTATATAGTCATTCAACGGCATACATGGGTAAAGTGGTGTCATATAACAGAGGTACATGGTGTCATATAACGGAGGTACATAACGGAGGGTGTCATATAACGGAGGTACATGGTGTCATATAACGGAGGTACATGGTGTCATATAACGGAGGTAGGTACATGGTGTCATATAACATATAACGGAGGTACATGGTGTCATATAACGGATGGGTAACGGAGGTACACATGGTGTCATATAACGGAGGTACATGGTGTCATATAACAGAGGTACATAACAGGAGGGTTTCATATAACGGAGGTACATGGTGTGTGATGTCATATTACGGAGGTACATGGTGTCATATAACGGTACAGGTACATGGTGTCATATAACGAGGTACATGGTGTCATATAACAGAGGTACGTGGTGTCGTATGGTGTACATGTCATATAACGGAGGTACATGGTGTCATATAACGGAGGTACATGGTGTCATATAACGAGGTACATGGTGTCATGGTGTCATATAACCGAGGTACATGGTGTCATATTACCGAGGTACATGGTGTCATATAACAGAGGTACGTGGTGTCGTATAACAGAGGTAAAATGTTTCATATAACGGAGGTACATGGTGTTGTGATGTTACGGAGGTACATGGTGTCATATAACGGAGGTACATGGTGTCATATAACGGAGGTACATGGTGTCATATAACCGAGGTACATGGTGTCATATAACGGAGGTACGTGGTGTATAACAGAGGTACATGGTTCATATAACAGAGGTACATGGTGTTGTGATGTTACGGAGGTACATGGTGTCATATAACGTAGGTACATGGTGTCATATTACCGAGGTACATGGTTTCATATAACCGAGGTACGTGGTGTCGTTTAACAGAGGTAAAATGTTTCATATAACGGAGGTACATGGTGTTGTGATGTTATGGAGGTACATGTTGTCATATAACGTGAGGTACATGGTGTCATATAACCGAGGTACATGGTGTCATATAACCGAGGTACATGGTGTCATATAATGGAGGTACGTGATGTCGTATAACAGAGGTACATGTTTCATATAACGGAGGTACATGGTGTTGTGATGTTACGGAGGTACATGGTGTTGTGATGTTACGGAGGTACATGGTGTTGTGATGTTACGGAGGTACACCGTGTTTGGTGTTAAGGAGGTATACGGTATGGAGGTACTAGGCGGTGTTGCACGTGTATTTTCCTCAGAACCGTGAACTGTTAACATGACCTCACCAGAAGTTGTTCTTGGCAACAATCGATACTTTAATCTTGCTGTGCAGCTGCCTGGAACAGAAGGCGACATAGTGTTAGTTTAAAACCTAAACATAACTGCAATATTCGACAATGCAAAAGTCGCATTATTCAGAGTAAACCTTTCAGACCAACCTTTACCCAGGAAAGTCCTACATCACGCTTCATAAACGCGGACAATTCCTTACACACTCTCTGACCCCCCGTGAACCCCACAGAACTCTACATCCGCACAAGCAGCCAGTGCTGGTTGTGTCCCTTTGATACCGGATGTCAGAAAGGATAGAAAGACGAGCCATCTGTCAAACGTTTCCTGGTAAGGCCTGGGAATCGAACCACACACTTATAGTCCCCGGCAGACGCTTTAAACATGGACCATCTACCCCTCTATATAACTGTCCTAAGGATTACGAGTATAGTCTTAGCGCTACGACTGTCGTAAGTCTATGTCAGGAGTCACGAACCGCTTGTGGAACGGGGCCCAGTATTTTGTTACACTATGTTACATTTACATGTTACATTTACTGTTCTGAATGTTACATTACTGTAGACGTACTCGATGCCGCCGGGGAAGATGTCTGCTGGTGCTGTCCACTCCTTGACCCCTCCGCCTTGACCTTTTGTGGGCCACCAGTTGTCCAGTTCTACATACCTGCATGACAAAGAGTGAGATGGAAAGAATGCTATACTTGACTGCGGAGTTGACTGATGGATGTCAACGTCGCATTACGGTGATGGGTCGTAGTTACTTTATAAAGGAAGATGCACCGCAAAAGGTGGCATAGAAAGTATATATCATACCAATCCTCCGTGAAATGTAAACCTGTTTACACTGGCGATATTGCTGTGTTTGTTGTTTAACGCCGCACCAGTAATATTGAAGCTAAATGACAGGGGTCCGTAGATATTGAACTCTGGATCAGACAATCCAGTGATTTGTCGATCTTAGTAAATGGAAAACTACGACAGCGTGTCTGATTACTCGACCCCGATCGTCACAAGCATGGATTGCAGAAGATCAATCCAAGTCCATTGACGATGTGCTTGTACTGATTGCAGACGAATATCTATATCAGCTTATGTGAATAATATTTCAATATTTTTATTTCGGTAACTCGACCATGCACGGTATGGATGTCACAAACACACCTATCATGGTTCAACAACAATATCATCAGATTAGACACGTGTGTATCAGCGAGTTCTATGCCTTCTGGTCATCCTTCCACAATCTATTTATTGAAAATATTAGGTCAGAAAACATAATATTGTACAGTGTATTCAATCACTATTACCACTATTGGATACAGAAATATAGTATGCAAACCATATTCAAAGATATCTGTTCATTGTATGATGGTGACTTGTGAAAGTAAATGTGTGAAAGTGTGGAAATAAAGATGTTGAAAATAAAAGATTAGACACGTGCCACGATGTGAATATTGATGCATGCGTCATTCGAAATGTGTGCGGTAGGCAGAGACATGTGAATAGCACTTCTCTTTCACTCTTCTCATGCATACAGTTTGACATTAGACATGTAACAAGATACAGAATGCCTTGATAGTGTTGATAGTATTATGGAATTACCTGTACGGCTTGGAAGAATTACCTGTATGACTGGGTGAGGTGAGATAGGGTTGAACGTCGTAGTTGAGAATATTTCGCTCATATGACGACGTGCATGCGTGTGTATGTGTGACTGCTTGTACTAGTCCAGACTGAAGCTGGTTTTAAAGGGCTGGCCCATTGAGATACCATGCCCCAGTGAAGCATGAATACCCCACATAGACACATTATACTGACTCCGAGCCGACCAGTTCTTGTTGTAACTATTAATGCCGAGCGCCAGACAGGAAACAACAAGTACCATATTTTAACGTCTTTTGGTATGACGCGGTCGGGGATCGAACCCTCGATTTTTCGCTCTCCGGGCGGACACTCTAACCACTACACCACGGAGGCGGTTCTGTACGACTGGGATAATTACCTGTACAGCTAGGAGAGTTACCTGTACGGCTGGGAGAGTTACCTGTATGGCTTGGATAATTACCTGTACGATTTGAAGAATTGCCTGCACGGTTGGGATAGTTACCTGTACGGCAGGGATCTATTGGCTGCAGCTGTAAATACGCTAGTGATCGCATCTTCATAGTTACCCACGAAACTTCCTTCCTCGTAGTAGAATGATCCTACAGCAACAGACAAACAGAGTAAAACAGTGGTGTTCGTCCGCTTCAGTCATTAATGTTCCAGGAATGTGAGGACTGCTTGAACTTTTCAGCGTAAGCTATTCATGTTAGTGACAATGCATGGTGTTAACGTTATATCACTTCGACAGAAATATAAATAAATTTAGAATATAATTGAACAGAATAGTCGAACGAATATGTTCAGTGACAATCACATACTGACATTTCGACTACTGTTGATTGTCTCTCACGAGGAAAATGATCGTGATGACACACCACATAGCAAAACTCGTCAAAGGGAGCCAGTGAGCGAAACGGAAGGGCTGGAAGACCTAACATAACACGTGGTCTCAACACGTAGTTATAATTAAAACATACTTTAAGAAACTGAACAGCGACGGCTTTGGAGGAGAGGTTGATGACTAACCACAACTTGTTAATACTGCTGGATGAGGGACCAGCATATTATTATGTTTACAGATTAAAGATGAAAATGCAGCAGAGAGGGTTCGGGTGATCCTGGCACAGTCAGGCTGGTAAGGCTCATCATCAGCTCAGGGCCCTTGCCCCCTCTACACGCAGCCCAGACAGCAAATGGGACGTCTCCCTGGAAACGCTGCCTAAATTTGGTCGAACCCACCAAGAACTTTCCGGAGAATATGTAGACTCCCCAACACTGCAGCCTTCTGCATTACCCAGAGTGTCAGAAGGGCTGTGCTCACGGTGGAGAACCCGGGCACTCTCCTGATCTGCGCCAAGAGATCAGGAGGTACCAAACCAAGGGCACCGAGAACAATGGGGAGTCTGACGACAGTGTACTTGGGATGCAAGCGAGACATTTCAAAGGCGAGGTCCGCATATTTATCATGCTTTTCCTGAATCTTGCCAATCACATTGCTGTCAAAAGGGACAGAAAATTCAATGATATAAATAAATTCATTGGCTTTATCAAAAAGGACAATATCAGGTTTGTTGGCAGGAATTCTTCTGAGGCTGTATATGGACCTATTCCACAGAAGTTTGAAAGTATCATTTTCCATGACGCCCTGGACATGTTCAGGGTCGTACCATGGATGGACCTCGGAGTCAAAGCCACAGGCATGGCGGAGACGGTAGTAAAAGCAACGAGCCATGCCATCATGTCGTTTAAGATATGCTGTTTGTGCCAAAGAAGGGCATCCACTGACAAGATGTTGGACAGTCTCTGTAAATTCATTACATAGTCGACATTTCATATTGATATTTTCTTTAAGAATCACATTTTGGCGATTACGAGTGGGAAGTGACTGGTCCTGAGCAGCAAAAAGGAAGCCCTCAGTTTCACATTTAAGACCAGCCGACTTCATCCAGGCGAAGGAGTCGGTTGGATTGCTATTCTGTTCAACACACTGCATGTACACACGATGCAATGGCTTCTCAGAAAACTTCTCCACAAATGACTGACTCTTTGCAGACTTGGTGAATAACTTCACCTGGTTTACTCCCATCACTGTACCGTCCAGCAGTACATCGCCATCAACAAAATCAACCTCAAATCTCAGATTCTGTCCAACAACCTTGGCACGCTTAAAATAGCTGTGGAATTCCTTGCTTTCATCATGAGTCTTGACATGCATCACCAGAGGATCATCCGATAAATAAATATGTGCAAAAGTACACAATAAAATTCTATCATGAAGAGCCTCCACATTAATCAAACCCCGACCTCCAGAATTGATTAGCATATAATAACGGTTGAGAGAGGAACGAGGGTGGTGGGCTCTGTTATCAGACATGATCCTTCTGGTCAGACGGTCAAGACTCTGGATGTCTTGTCTAGTCCAATCAACTACTCCAACGGAATAGGAAAGGACTGGCACAGCAAAGGAATTGGTGGCTTTGACCTTGTTTCGAGCATTTAGCTCTGAGCTCCAGATTTTCTTTAAGCGAGATATATACTCGGCCCGAAGTTTTTCTTGATTCTGGGCATTTTGGAGCTTGTCTCGAAATTGCATTCCAAGATAGGTGTAGGCCTGATCTTCCACAAGATTCTCAGTAACTCCTCCCCTTGTAACTTGACCGATCCATCATTAACTACCTTGCCACGTTTCAAATGAAGAGTATTACATTTGTCGAGTCCAAATCATTAGAAAAGGACTCGACAAGGAGAAACTGTTCTTTCAAACTGGTATCTCCTTTGGCAAGGAGCTCGATGTCATCCATGTAAAGGAGATGAGTAAGTGGTGTTGGGGATCTGTGCTGAGGAGGTCCAGGATGGTAACCCGCCTCTTTATTGAGCAGAAAGCCCAAAGGATTTAGAGACAAACAAAAGCAAAGGACTGAAGGAGTCCCCTGAACGATTATTATTATTATCACTATTAATTATCACTATTATTTTTAACACTGACTTCACTATGGATACGTGTACAATGCAGCAACGGCACGGTCTACTGACCAAATACAGTGTACGTATCAATAGCAATACCATAATGGAACTCATCATATATTGAAGTTATTGAAGGATATAGCAATACCATATATTGAAATAGTATTTCTTGTCAGCTTTCAGTCAATAAATCTCACACAGTCTCACATTGTCTCGCGTTGTGTTACTGACCTTCACCCGTCCAGTAACCGATGTTGTTTACCACTGGGTCGGAGGGTCGACTCAGCTTGTAGTACATGCTGGAGATAGTGTTTCCCCACACAAACATGCTCTGAAGAGTCAGAATGATCAAACAGAGATATGAATGGGCCAAGGAATGAGTAGGTGGGTGAAGTGTGTTTTATGCCTCTGTAAACAACAGCAGGTAAGGTGAGGTGAAATTGGGTTTAAGGTCGTGCTTGAGAATATTTCGCTCATATGACGACGTGCATGCGTGTGTATGTGTATGTGCGGCTGCTTGTACTAGCCCAGACTGAAGCTGGTTTTATAGTGCTAGCCCACTGAGATACCATGCCGCAGTGAAGCATGAATACCCCACTCAGACACATTATACTGACTCCGAGCCGACCAGTCCTTGTTGTACCCATTAATGCCGAGCGCCAGGCAGGGACCAACAAGTACCATATTTTAACGTCTTTTGGTATGACGCGGTCGGGGATCAAACCCGCGACCTGCCGCTCTACGGGCGGACGCTCAGGCTTGAGGCGGTCCAAACAACAGCAGACATATATGTTACAGATGTTCATGTTATAAAGAACCTTCATTCATAAAGCTACAGTTAGTGCCACCCATGAGCTGGTACGTGTCGGGCACTCATAAACTAACCAGTGTTAAAGAATCCCAATTACGACATACCAATGCATTCAATGCTGACCAGCGGTTGAGACGCTGGAAACGAGATAAATGTACAACACACAGTCTCTAATTCTATGAAACACCTTTATATTGACAGATTACATACATCCTTGTACCTCATCAGACAGGTACAGATGTATCACCTCAGCGTGTACGTAAATAAGTGATTTATGAAACACTAGTATTGTAGTATTACCTTTGTGACGTCGGCTGAATAAGCCGTCAAAACTTGGTATGTGAAATTAGCTGGAATTTGAGTAACACCGCTCATGACCCCCCAGTATACGTGGTCGTTGTCGATGTCGCGCCACAGGGAGGAGGACATGAAGTTGTCCTGGGGGCCTATGGTGATGGCATTGAAACTCTTGTCAAATAGGTTGAGAGTGGCCGATCCTTCAAGGCCGTCCTGGATGTTGGCCGACTTGTTCCATCTAGACAAAGTATGAAACGTCAACGTTAGAGAATATCATCAGTACTCGTGGTCCGTCCAAACAGATAAAAATGGGGCTTACAAGTAAATAGCCATACACATTTTGTGAATCAATCAATTTTGACACCAGGTGTCTACGAACACGGTATAGCCCATCTGTAAGCACCTCTAGCCTGACGCCTCCAGACAATCAAGTGATGGACCAGACAATCAAGTGATGGACCAGACAATCCAGTGATGGAACAGACAATCCAGTGACATGAAGTACAGTGCACATATTCCGCTGCTAACACGCAAACGAAAAGTACAGAGGACAGCATATATAAATTAGCAGTTGAATAATATAACAAAAGAAGCAGTTTCCTGTTAGATTTACGGGGTGTTGAAACAATAGTTTTATTAAGATTGCATCAAGGCATATGGTCTGCCTGTTTGCTGATTGTTTCTCCTACCTGCCCAACACCTGATCCGTGTAGCCGGCAAACTCCCCACCCAGAGACATGAAGCCGAGGGGATGCAAGTCGTTCTCCATCTTGAAACCGGGGAAGCCGCAGATGACGCGATCGTAGCTGAGGTGGTTGATGTCTGTAGCGCCCGTGGGGAAGTTCTTCAGAAGGAAAGTGACAATGTATTTAGAAATAGCGTTCAAAACGCTTGGGACGTTGTGCATCAGGGAAGTATTCGAGAATGAGGTCTTGTCATCACTGTACAAAAGTGCCTCCCTTAGGCCTGTCAGAATTCAATGATCATGGATACACGGATTCAAATCTAAAACGTTCGAATCTAACATTCGCCCGAATACGCCCGTGGTTTATCAGCACCGCTGCAGAGATCGTTTCGTTCATGAAAGTTATAAATACTTAAGACACTACATTCCACAATTACACAATAATATAAAGATAGATATTCTTAATCACTGCATGAGGCCCTTCTCAAAATTCTGTCGGGGACTATGGGGAGTTGGGTAGGCTAGCGGGTATCGCACCCATAGATACTGGTAATCCTATTCGCGGTGCTCCAGGTAACATATCCGGACTACAGCTCCGAGCGCGTTATTCCCTACAAATTCACTCAGTCCTTCAGAAGCTGTTCTTGCATCTTACCACTTTAAATGTCAGCAGCTCGTCAGAGGAGTTGTATGCCAGTACGCTTGCAACGATGGTGACATTGTCAGCCTTGAAGGTGATTTGGGTCTCGACGCCGGGTCCCAGCCGGTCCCCTGGGAAGTCGGTTTTCTTGACGGACTCAACCACCAGTGAACCATCATCGTCTCCATACCTCTGGTTGTTCAACACGAAGAAAGTGGGGGCGCTGTTCAACCAGGTCGTGCCCTTGACCTTGAGTTGGTACGTTCCGTTATTGGCGACATCCACTTCTACGGCAGGAACCGCTTGAACCGCTGGCGCTTGTTCTGGAAAAATAGAGAATTGTGGAAACTGAGATTCAGCCGAGGGTGTGTTCAAATCTCAAACACATGGTATGTATTCGGAATGTATTGGGGATTCTGTCAGAATGATTATGTTGAATCTTTGCACACATTGGCTTGCAAACGGTTTTTAGGCGTTACGATCTCCACAACTAATAATATAGCTCGTGGTGAATGTGGGCGGTATCCCCTATATATCCTAGCATATAAAAGGGTAATAAAGTATTGGTTAAAATTATTGAGTATGTCTGATTCTCGTCATCCCAAAAAATGTTATCATATGATGTTAATGGCTTTAGATCATAATAAAGTTAATTGGGCGTCGAAGTGTCGAGATCTGCTTTACAGATTTGGTTTTGGTTTTGTTTGGGAACAGCAATCTGTTATTTATCCTACCTCGTTTTTATCTGAATTTGTGAGTCGACTTAAATGTATTCATGAACAGAATTGGTATAGTTCACTTCAAAATGGCAGCAAATCTATGTTTTATTCTTACTTCAAAATATCATTGTCCAGGGAATTGTATTTAAATGTGATTAACATTAAAAAGTTTAGAGTAGCACTCGCTCAGTTTAGATGTTTTTCACATCAGTTACGTATAGAAACTGGAAGGTATTATAATATAGATAGAAATGATAGATTATGTTTACAGTGCGATGAAGGTTATATTGAGGATGAATACCATCTTCTCCTCGTGTGTTCCAAATTCCAACAGCTTCGCTTGAACCATTTACCTAAAACCTATTGTATCAACCCAAGTAAAGCCAAATTCAAACTCCTCATGTCATCACCAGATTGTAAACTTATAAATAACTTAGCTAGCTTTATCTATCATGCAATGTATCTAAGATGAAAAAATTATCAATCTATACTGTACACACCATGTTTTGCCATGTAAATGTAACCCATGTAGTTATGGGCCGATGGCCTACACTTCTGTAATAAAGAATTGAATATTCGGAATACAAGTTGTATAATGCGTAATACAGAGCCTAACACACGTGTTTATTCCTAATGTTTGATGTGTACGTTACGGAAACTCACAAGTGTGAGGATGTCCTTATCATAACATGTCATTCACGTTTAAGACATGTATTGCTATCCTCAGCTTGAGTTGGGGCGACAAGGTCTCCGAGTGGTTGAATCCTTCTCCCGTCACGCCGAAAACCCGGGTCCGATTCCCCACGTACGTACAATGTGTGAAGCCCGTTGCTGGTGTCACCCACTGTGATATTGCTAGAGTATTGTTGAAATAGGTGTTAAATAACACTCACTCACCGATGACTGTAACCAACGAACCGAATAGGAATACCAGGTATGAGTGAACTGTCTCATTAATGATAAGAAATGTAAAAGATTTGCATCCATGTTTGTAAAGATAAGTCCTCACACTTTCGTGAACTCACCGAAACCCTTTGGGAACGTTCATAACGTTTAATCAAGCAGTCATCACATCGATGCATTGAAGGTAGTTCATGTCAGGTACTCTAGTGAGCGGTATTTCTTAACGTTATGCAAACGTATCGGATCGATTTATCAGAACACTTTCGAATTAGAATAAATGATAAAGAATGATATATATTTCTTAGCTTTTACCCTAGATATAATTGTCAACCTAACATGCTGGATGGCATGAGAAACAGCTTTAGGGAAATAACCTCAAAATTGATTGTCCTACTTTCGGAAATAGAGAAAGAGATGTGAGGCATCACACTTAACCTTACTTCTGATGCACAATGTGTACGAAGCGGGTACTGTAGGTGGTGCAGGACATTTGTACCTATATCGCAACCACCTGGTGTCATCAATGATATTCAGCGAAGCTCTTGTATAATTCTCATACTTTGCCTTTTACACCAAAAGGAACCTGCTTCGTCTGATATTCTCTAGTGTTGAAGTTATGTGTTTACCTTGAAGCAGTTACAGAAATTATAGTCTTCATATATTCTCTATAATGGTTAACAATGGATGAATACTGACCAAATCTACGGTGCTTCAGGGCATCTTGGAATAACTGTAGCACATTGCATAATCAATCTGATGATTTATCAATGTCGGTGTGATTGTCCTATTCAAGATGAACATGCATGATGAAATGAAAGGCATATGGAAAATACTCTCACTAACGTCAGACGGAGAGATATACGATTGCGTATACCGCCAAGTAGGAATAACAAGTGTGCTCTCTGTTTATAACATCTCGTGTAGGATGATGGGAGAGGACATCTAGGTGACGTATGTTCCTGATGTTTGTCACTGTCGCCAGACTAACGGCCATTGTTTTGTGTTTCGAAGACCAAAGGAGTACCCCTAGATAACAGGATAATTTTGAGAGGACCACCAGTTATAAAACATAAGAATAAAGGAGTTAGTGTTTCCCCCAGGCATATTTGGCCTGCGCCCTATCCTTTTTATTTAGCGCCCTGCCCTTTTTATTTAGCGCCCTGCCCTTTTCATTTAGCGCTGTGCCCTTTTGAATCACCGCATTATCTGCCCTTTGAAAAATCCAATATTTTCCGGAATTTAACAAAGGCAGAAGTTAGCTCCCTTCCCGGATGTTCCAAACTGTGTCGCTAATGGCGATGTCCAAATGTTCTAGCACTGACCATGGGTGTCTGTATATTTAGGTGAGATGAGATGGAAAGGGTTAAATATCGTCTTCAAGATTTGGTTGTTTGTTGGTTTGTTTGCCTCACTCAGCAATGTTCAAACTATATGACGGGCATGGACTGTCCGACCCTCCAGTATAGAAGGGGCGGTGGGGTAGCCCAGTGGTTAAAGCGTTGGCTCGTAACGCCGAAGACCCGGGTTCGAATCCTCACATGGGTACAATGTGTGAAGCCCATTTCTGGTGTCCCCCGCCGTGATGTTGCTGGAATATTGCTAAAAGCGGCGTAAAACCAAACTCAGTCAGTCAGTCCAGTCTAGACAGGCCAGTGTAATTATCTTAATAACGAATAGTTGAATTGTTAAACTAGCGGATAATTGAAATACTTCACTCAGTCTGTATGGCACTGCGCAACAGGTTGGAGCTTAGTTCTACAATTTTCATCTGTATGATATTTTACATACTCATAATAATGTTTACTCCGAAAAGGCTTCCGACGCAGATATCGCTAACAGCTATTGTTCTATCACAATCTAATCAGTCTGCAGAGAACGCTAGCTATCTTTCCTTATACACTCACGACACTGGCTATAATAGAAAAACGATAATTTTGGGTGAGAAAACCTTCCCTTTGTGTCTTTAGATATCAAATACATCAACAATTGTGATAAATGTTCAGACCTCAATGTCAAGATTCGGGAGTTCAAGTTCAACTTGTATTCACTGGTGGTGGTACATTTTATGTCAAAACATAATTTGGTGATATTTTCATTTTGGATAACAGGTTACAAATGCTGGCACCGTCAACCCAAAACTGAGAAGATATAACAATTTATCTAGAACCTACCTGTGAGTACTACAAGCATTAAACTGACAGTTGTCAGAAGGACGAGGTTTGTCGCCACCATTTTGTCTCGGGCCACGTGAGTGGTTGTGAGATAACAGGTGTTATCATATCACTGGGTACACTAATATAGATAGTACTTCGAATCACGAACGGGCACCTAGTTAACGGTGTGTGTGATGGGGTATTATATAGACAGCGATTAAGTACACGGGCTAGATAACAATAAGGAGAAGTATATGGCGCTGTACTCCACATCGCACAGGGCATGCTCTAAGCGTATACAAATAAACAAATTGTCAGTGATTTTTAAACAGATTGGTCTTTAGACCAGATTTAAGGGAAGATATGAAGGGGAAGAGCGTTACATAGCACAGCAGCAGATTGTTGAAGGATCTGTCTTCAACCTCTAGGGAGGTACAGAAAGTAGGAATCTGTCAGCTGAACGAAGGTTTCTGGAAGGTGAATACACTGCTGTCACCGTTAGAAGATATATATACAAAGGATAGATATACCGTTTCAATAAGAAGGATGGATGCACGGGCTTGATGCAAAGGAACGGACAAGTATACGGACTAGATAAACAGGTTGGAAGCACGGGCTAGATACAAAGGAAAGGACAGGTATACGGACTAGATAAACAGGTTGGACGCACGGGCTGGATACAAAGGAAAGGACAGGTATACGGACTAGATAAACAGGTTGGACGCACGGGCTGGATACAAAGGAAAGGACAGGTATACGGACTAGATAAACAGGTTGGACGCACGGGCTGGATACAAAGGAAAGGACAAGTATACGGACTAGGAAAGGACAGGTTGGACACGGGTGGATACAAAGGAAAGGACAGGTATACGGACCAGATAAACAGGTTGGACGCACGGGCTGGATACAAAGAAAAGGACAAGGTATACGGACTAGATAAACAGGTTGCTGGATACAAAAGGAAAGGACTGAGTATACGGACTAGATAAACAGGTTGGACAAACGGGCTGGATTCAAAGGAAAGTACAGGTATACGGACTAGATACAAAGGAAAGGACAGGTATACGGACTAGATAAAGTGGTTGGACGCACGGGTAGGATACAAAGGAAAGGACAGGTATACGGATCAGATAAACAGGTTGGACGCACGGGCTGGATACAAAGGAAAGGACAAGTATACGGACTAGATAAACAGGTTGGACGCACGGGCTGGATACAAAGGAAAGGACAAGTATACGGACTAGATAATACAGGTTGGACGCACGGGCTGGATACAAAGGAAAGGACAGGTATACGGACTAGATACAAAGGAAAGGACTGGTATACGGACTAGATATAGTGGTTGGACGCACGGGCTGGATACAAAGGAAAGGACAGGTATACAGACAAGATAAACAGGTTGGACGCACGGGCTGGATACAAAGGAAAGGACAAGTATACGGACTAGATACAAAGGAAAGGACAGGTATACGGACTAGATATAGTGGTTGGACGCACGGGCTGGATACAAAGGAAAGGACAAGTATATGGACTAGATACAAAGGATAAACAGGTTGGAATAAACAGGTTGGACGCACGGGCTGGATACAAAGGAAAGGACAAGTATATGGACTAGATACAAAGGAAAAAAGGACAGGTATACGGACTAGATAAACAGGTTGGACGCACGGGCTGAATACAAAGGAAAAGGACATGTATACAGCAAGATAAACAGGTTGGACACACGGGCTTGATACAAAAGGAAAGGATGGTGTTATATAATGGGATGTTGTATAAACATTGTAGTAAGTGACAGGTATTACGTCACTAGATAAACAGGTTGGACGCATCGGGCAGAATAGAAAGGAATAGCAACAATGTATATGGACTAGATAACACTTCAAGTAGCATCCCTTAGCTGGCATTGACATTTATTTTTGACTTCCGGTCGTATATGTTCGAGAAAAATCGCCCTAATGTTCTCAGAAATATTGGATACAAAGGAAAAGGACAGGTATATGGACTAGATATAGTGGTTGGACGCACGGGCTGGATACAAAGGAAAGGACATGTATACAGACAAGATAAACAGGTTGGACGCACGGGCTGGATACAAAGGAAAGGACAGGTATAGGGACCAGATAAACAGGTAAGGACAGGTATACGTACTAGATAAACAGGTTGGACGCACGGGCAGAATAGAAAGGAATGGACAAGTATACGGACTTGATAAACAGGTTGGACGCACGGACTAGATACAAAGGAATGGATGGTGTTATAAGAGTGTGAGTTTTTTGTAATTTGTATTAACATTGAGTAAGTGATAAGTATTATTGGTCACAATGTTAAAAGTTTTCAGTGTGGGTTTTGGCTCGGATCTCGCATCATATATGTTCAATGGCAAAAGTATGTTTAGCGGTACGCTTTTTGATAGCATTTCAGAGTGGCATCCCTTGGCTGGCATTATTTTATTTTGACTTCCGGTCGTATGTTCGAGAAAATCGCCTAATGTTCTGAGAAAATATTGAAGGAGCCTAGCTTTGGTAGAATTCTCGAGAACTGTGTAGGAGCTATATAAAGGCTGGTTGTTGTGTAGTGCGACTCGGGACTTATTTCATGATTCGAGTTATACAAATCTCTCTGCCATCATCTCAAGAGCGATCGTGCTTGCCTAATCAACTGTTGTCATTGTAAACAACCTTCAATCAGTATGTCTGTTCTCACTGTAAATGTCAAGACTCTGGCGAGTTTTATATTTGTGACCCAATATTTTAGATTTGTGACTCAATTGCATTGTACAAGAAATATCTATTGCCAATCATTGTAGCTTGTTCATTGTTTGTTCAATATATTATTGAATATTTACGACTTGTCTGTGTTCTATTTTGCTAGTTCAAAGGGGACACTTAATCCTTTTGTCACGGCAATTCATTAACCTTAACAATAGATATACGGAGTCGATACAAAGCAATGGATAGATATACGGAGGACGAGATACAAAGGAAAGAGTTGTTTCACAGACCCATAGGAAAGGAAAGGATAGATGTACGGATTAGATACAAAGGATAGATACACGTACTTGACACACAAGATCAATACACGCTCTGGATAGCAAACTGTTCACATCAATTGTTATCTTTGCAGATCTCGGAGGTCATTGATACAATCATTCTCTTTCTTGCCCTTCTCAGTTCCAGCCAGGAACACTGATGCAGTTGGAGATTGAAGAGTTCATTACTGACAAACAAGGATAAGTTGAGCACCGACCTGACAGTTGACCTGTATTAGCATGTATGAGTGCCGCCCACTGGCGCTTGCCATTGTTAGCGAAGGGGCCGCAGATTGTCCGCGATCAAGTGCGATGGGCGAAGCGCGTGGCCTGTCTCAGCAAACAAGGCGTGGAATCAATTTCATCATCATGTAATGCACGTGCACTAGCCTACATTTGCTCTACCTTTCACAAACCAAATGGGTTTGCTCATTGCCGTGCATCGCCTACTTCTCGTAATCGCGTTCTCTGCGCCGGTCCAACTTATCCTTGTTTGCCAATAATACTCCAGGGTTCTCTTTCTTTTACTGAGCTTGTTGTTGGTTAGTAACATGTCTACCGCTCGGCATTATAATGATAAAGACTTGACGGCTCACCATGATGTGTCTGAGTTGTGTATCAGAGTTACATTGCAGCATCTCATTTCATCTGTAAAACCTGCCGGACTAGATGGAGGAAGCACTAGGAGGGTGAAATTTTGATCTTGACGTCATCTAAATCGTAGGTTCTGCGATAGGGTGTCAGAATCAAAGATGTATAGTACCCCGTCCTGGTTGCCATCGGGAACGACTGCTCAAGTGTTTCACCATTCCAGCAGATGTTCCTGATCAAAAGTCGGTTGACATGTAGAAGTAACCAGAAGGATGGACGAAACCAAGTTCGTCATGTTGACATGTTGAGTTTTCACAGATGTATATTTCATTTAAGTTTGTAACGGATTCAAGCGATAGAAAAGGAAACGTTCACCTTTTTCGCAAACACCTGGTATCATCACTATTTGGTGCTCATGATACAGTCGGAATCTGCCAGCACATATTATTTGTGACTCTCGAGATGACTTCTGTCACTTTTCTTTTATTTTGTATTTTACTTTAGGCCAAAAAAATAAATGTTATGGTTCCGATTTCCTACATTTCAGAACTAGGGTAGGTAGGTAGGGTTTTGGGGTTTTTGCAAAATATTTTTACATTACTCATCATCATGTGTCAGAAAATAAATTTAATTTATTATGTGGTGAGTAAAATTGTTAGGCTCGGCGGGAATATTTAGGGTCGGTCGGGAAATCGGAACCACAAGCTTTTTTTTAGGCCTTATTATTATAATACATATTTTCGGAATCGCACAATGGTCTCTGCTTTTAGTTGATATTTCTTAAGAGTATGTTTCTGTCCCTTGTATTCACAAACGAGCCGCGAAAGGATACAAGATCTGAAGATAGCGCTCCGGGAATACCTTGAATGCAACGACCAAGAGCGTGTCTCCTACTTCAGACGTCCCTCAAGGCTGTCCTCCACATATTCTTGGCGTGACTTCTACCTGAACAGTAACTGTAGCCCTAACTGTAAGGGAGAACGTTGCCCTATGAAGCAGTCCAGATCAGCTGTTGAAACAGCTGGCCCTATACTAACCATCTACACTCGTGTCGTATTGCACCTCAGGGAGAGCTTGACATAGAGAGTGGCCAAGCTCATTCAGGGTTCATTATAAACTACATATATGAAATTCATGGTTTCCGTTTTAATTAATAACTGCATCGGGTTACTTTGCAATTGACGGCAGGTGCGCTGGATATGTCATATAATAGAATGAGGGCAAAGTGACTGCGTCTGCATATTGATTTGCTCATTAAAGAACGATCGATAAGTTTGAAAAACATTCAAATATGAAGGTATCAGGTAACTACCTTAGAATAGTTGTCATACCATTAAGTTCACGGGGTTTTTTATATTAAGAACTTCTTTCCCAAACCACTTGTAAGCAAATATGATTAGGTGATTTCGTTGTGCGTGTGTGCGTGAGCGTACATCTGCGTCTGTGTCTTCGTGCTTGTGTCCCTTGTATGGCGATCTTCCTTCAGTTGTTGGCAATGCATAGCCTATTTTTATATTGTAATCATGTCTTCTGTAGCTAACATATTGTAGATTTACATACTAGTTTTATATTCATAACAGCTGTGATATTCTAGCTGTTTTTACTGTCCTTCGTTGACAGGTTTCTTATAATTTACATATATTATGGTGAATTTAAAACTTGTTTCAGTCACGATATTGCTGAAATATTGCCGATGTGATAGTACAACTTAACTCACTCTCCGTGCTTATGCTATTCCGGACAAATGCCAGTTTCCAGACACAATGCCGCAATGTAACATGGATAGCCCAATCATTCAGAGTATACCAACATGGAGCCGACCCTAGAATAACGCTTAGTCTCTGAATATATATAATTTTGATAGTAACAAACAAACCCATATAAATCGGAAAGGAGCCCAGGGGAGACCAGAGATTCAGAACCTGATCTAGACTTGCTTCGTTTAGGGCTTTAGCATTGCACAGAGGGCTTGGTTATAATGTGGTTCAGGGACTGTGAGACAGACTAATCCGACCAGACACAGGTTATCCCCAAAGTACAGTCAGGGTAACAACACGTATCTATCTGAACGGTTCTTGGTATGTCGCGGCCGCTGACCACAGAGGGGGTCCGTCAGTAAATGTACAGAAAACTACCAAACAGCCATCTACGACATACACTGTGATCATCCGATCATATCCAACGTTTAACGGAAGGAGAAAGGAGTTAAATATAAAATCATGTCGACAATATTTCAGACATATCGTGTGACGCGGCTGGAGTATGCCCACAGTTAGTGATCCTCTCCTAGCAAGCCACAAGAATGCAGTGTATATCTTCTGAGACGTCAGTGAAAGCAATACACAACTCTATGTCATCAGACAAAGATTCCATATGGTGCGAGTGGCAAGATAGCTCTGTAAGCCAGGAATGACACCAGGTGTTCGCGACATAAGGGTAAGCACGCCCTGCCCTACCGGTACACACGTCATTCACACAATTTGACTAAAACTGAAAGTTAACATATTTAGCAACACCAACAGTAGCTACATATGTTAGATTATCGTACGAACATAGTAAAATGAAGTTTGAAGTCACTTTTGGAAGTTTATAATAATTAGCACGCATAACTTGAAGGGTTTCATCTATTTATGAGCTATTTATGAGTTATGTTTCAGACCTCTTTGATTTGCGCCCATATAACGCATTGACAGGAGTAAACTATGATCCGTAATGAAGGTAGAAACTAAAAGATTAACACAAAACCATACGTTATCGTTGATGAGTTACAAACTAGCCTGATTATGTGAGCTGCAAAATTCATCCAAGGTGCGTTAATTCACCGCTATTGCATCCGATGATGAGGTCAAATAGGTAAAAATACACAGTCTCGATGATCCACTGAGATTCCCAGTTAAAACAGCGGTGTGAGCTATAAGAACGATCAATAAAAAACACTGGCACCAGGTGTTCGCAAAATGTTAACAACGCCTGCTCTAACTTGGTACTGACCATTGAAACATTATCCGGCTGTTCACTCTTGGTTGTCGCATGTTTGGTCGCCTGTTCGATGAGGTATATGAGGTTCTCGTCATAAAGCGACTATTGCATTCTGCACTTACTTCGTGATTCTCTTTGTGTACAATATCTACAACGAAGTAAAAATACATAATACAAAAGAAGTCCGAGTCCGAGACGTTATCCAACAATTGGCAACAACCGGGTATCGTTTGAAACAATCCTTCGGAAATTTCGCATCAGAGAGCAGTTCAGCAAGGACTATCTATGTATGTCTTCTCCAGTGCTTTCTTGTCCTCCTGTGGTAGCAGTTTCTCCTTGTTCTCGGGAAAAGGTAGCGGTTCCTTGTTCTCTGTAGGAACCAAACGTTCCCTTTTGTCTGGCTCCCCAGTGACTTTGGTGTCTTTCCTCAGGATGGGGATTAGGAACAGGAGCATGGAGCCTAGGAGAGACACGGAGCCTGGAAGTATATACACATGGACATCACAAACATGGATGCATCATCATGAATCTGAATCATTAAATGAAATCTCGTAGCAAAGCACATATCAACACACCTTCAAAAATAAGATAAGATTTAAATTTTCTAGTCATTGCTGATAGAAAATAAGTTACAATTTACACATTTACCTCTTCGATGTAGAAAAATAATATGAACCGTGTAATGGTGTGTTTGATCCACGTGACGCAAAACTAATGTGTGAGAAAATAGCAGGAGACAACCACCTGCTGATATGTTTGGGACGAGCTGGGTCCAGAAAAGAAAATCTGATCCCGGAAATGTTAGAACAAAATATTTTATCCACTTGTTTTAAAGCAAATAAATCGCCGGTGGACATAAGTAAATGATAAGATTTGTGTTTGTTCAGAACAGATTGGTCTCCTTATTACAGCGAAAAACACTAAATGCTCTGAAGTCTAAACCGAAACATATCCTGTCTCAAATGACCATCCCATGCTCACCACCAATGTAGAACCCCGCGGAGTAAGATGATGTGATGTCGTACAGGGCACCTAGAACCAACGAGAGCACGTAGTAATGCACCAGCAATATTAGTAATTGCTATGATAACGTAGGCAGTTGTAACTACCGAATTTGGGTATTTACGACAGGAATTCCTAACTTTTCCAACACGATCACCATCGGTATTTTAATAGACAACATCGTTGAATATAATTATTGTTTCCCTAAATGCTCTTACTGTTTTGAATATTTAATATTAGCATCAATACGTTTAGAGATGTCAGTGATAGTATTTTAAGTTTCACGGTTCTTTACATTCGCATTTGTCCAGCAATATTAGAGTGTACTGCATAAAATGAAGTCACGCACTGGCCAGAAAAAAACTGAATAATGTTAAAAGGCCGTAGATGCGATGACAGACATTCAGTCCTAACTGAAAGCCAGAATGCATCAATTACTAGCTGCCAAAGCTTCAGTACTAACTGTAGTGGTCAGTGTTAATATATTTTTGATTGTCCGCATTACATGCGTTTAAAATGCAAATGGCGTTTCCGTCAGGAACATAACATGATGAAACAACATACCAGCAATGGTTGGACCAATCAGATAACTCATACCACCAACACACAAGGTAACTCCGAACACTGTTGCCAATTTGTCAACTCCAAACAGTTCAACGATTATAGGCGTCAATAAAATGTAACTAAATCCGAAGTATACACCATATATAACTTGGTATAGAACAAGTTGAGGAAATCCATGAGCAAATAGAGGCATGAATATCACTGCTATGGCTTTAAGGCCTTGACACGATGTGTACACCATGAGTAGATCAATGCCTTTGTCGTTACACACAGCTCCGCCGAGAAAGCGAGCTACAGTGAGCGTGAGACCGTAGGCGGTGAACAGTGACGGAACCTTGGCCTGTGGTACTCCAACCGAACGCACATAGGATGGCAGATGGACAATCTGAATGGAATAGCCCATCATTTCCATGAAATAGTTTAGGCTGTAGATCCAGAGGATTTTATTCTTTAAAAGCGAACATGTACTCTCTTGTTTGCTATTTTCTTCAACGGCACTCTCGCCACTGCGTTTTCTCCAACACAGACAGGAAGACGTTTCAGATATCACTGGCGGTTCCTCCTCTTGCGCAGCAATGTACTTCTTCCGGTAGCAACACGAAAACGTATTTTGTTTAGTCTGTGGGGTCGTTTCAAGTGGAAATATCAGAGATCCCATGACCACCATCTGGGCAGTGACACATCCAAGCGTGGACATGGCAGTCCTCCAGCCAAACTGTTCAATCAACCAGCCAATCAGATGCGGGCCAGAAAGGATACCGATACCCGCTGATGCTAAAGCGATTCCATTGGCAAGCACTCTCTTCTCTTTAAAGTAATGACCAACAGCTATTGCAGTTGGGGTGTAGACAATACCGAACCCAGTCCCTGTAGGAAACAGCTAATTAAGTCATGTAAGAATCAATCAGTTCCCAGAACAAATATATAATACATATAGGACCTTCTTTACAACAAATGTTAACCTTTTTTATTAACAAATTTTACTGTTGAGTAATTACAGAACAAACACAAGTATTGAAACACACACACACACACACACACACACACACACACACACACACACACACACACACACACACACACACACACACACCCCCCTCTTCATATTTCTTGAAATAGTTGTTAGAATTTATCACAGGAGGGAATACCGGGAAAAAAACGGAGAAATATGCACTATTCCCAAGTGGCACATGAGGTCATGCCAAGGTCTCTCTCAGGGGCGTAGCTACTATTACAAAAAGAAAGCCCGGGCTTACACATGATTATTGCTAAAAAGGTTGGGCAAGTCCTCAATACTATCTAATATAAAGCTTTGCAACCTATCGGGCTTACACGAACAAATTGGCTTGCTACGCGCATGTCTCTTCACTTGAGTTTTTGTATAAGAGGACATATCGATATAGAATCTTTATGTGAGTGGAAATATGTTAAAATGTCAAATATAACGAATGACATTGGCGACATTGATGACACGTCCATCTCACCTGAGAGTATCCCGAAACATGCCAGTAGTTGCACCAGTGTTTGGGTAAGGCTGGATGCTACAAGCCCAACAGACAGTAGGGTGCCTCCCAGCATCACTGAGGTACGTATACTGAACGTGTTGCAGATCATGCTCGCCACGGGACCTGGAAACACAATAATAAAAGTTTATGAAAAGTATAATTGTTGTTAGTTTTAGGACAGATTTCTGTTTCTCACTGCATACAAGTTTTAAGCAATTACGTAGAGACAAAGCCCAAAATATCCACTTGTACACCGATCAACAGTATTTGGTTGTACACATGGTCGAGGAGATACTATGATGATAATATCATAGATGTTACAATTGTAAGAAGCTCATAAGACGGGAAATAACCCAAGTAACACCATAACAGTAAAAAGTGAGGTTCTAGACTCATGATCCAGGATGGCCGACGGGAGGCAACTTTGAAAAGAAAATAGCTTGCATAACGATAATTCAGTTCATAAAATACAAAACCTTGACGTGACATGTGCAGGTGATACAGGGTCCAGGCCGTTTGTAATTGGAAACCAGTTCAGTGAATTATGATATGTATACCACCGCTGCAGTGGATAGAGAACCTGCCTCGAGAATGGAAGGTCTGTGGTCCTAATCACTAGACGGTTCATCCAAAAAGACGTTGAAAGGTTGAAAGGGTTTGTATCCCTTTGGAGCCTGCTGACAGTGTATTCACAAGGTTAATAAACGAATAACTGATTGGTGACATTTGATGAGCGTACTTGTATACACGCTTACGTGATGAGCACAAAAGCGTCACTGATTAACAAGAATATATTCAGTTGCTAACGTAGTTATCGTACAGTGGGTAACCCAGTTACTGTAGTTACCGTAGTTACCGTGCTGTGGGTAACCCAGTTAACGTAGTTACCGTACTATGGGTAGCCCAGTTACCGTAGTTACCGTGATTACCGTTACCTAATATTGACTGTAGACTGATGAAGAGGGAGCACACCAAGCTAATAAAACCCGTGCTGCCATCGTAATGCTGGAGAAATTGGTCCTGGAACATCCCTAGTAAAAGAAATGTTCATTGCACACAACCATCTCCAGGAGGTTATGTATTAACCTGCATGCTATCTGCATTTCTTATCACTGGTACATATACTGACATCACGAGAAAGAGTTATAAAAAGACGTTAATTGACGGATAAATTCCATGAGATAATGCATTTCATTAACAAAAGCTGTTATAACACTTCTAATATATTTTGGACAGTATTTTAACTGATCACGAGTGGGTGAGTTGTGCTTTAAGCCGCTTTGAACATATTTCCAGATATACTTCTGCGTGCCAATTCAATGTTGGAGCAAGGTCCAAAGTGATGCCGTTCTCTGTAAATTTGGTAATATCATATTTGGTATAGTGCTAACAAACATTGTTGATATCAGAATCAGAACTACTGATATATTTCGACCCACGATCATAGGTTTCTGGTGAGCCTGGTGGGTGCAATTCTGCCACGTGAAACACAACTCGCACGACCTGGCCACCTGAGCCCATTTAAAAGAAGTGTATTTTCAACATAATGATAAGGTACCCAGACAGACGGTGACAGTCCCAACTACGGTCAGGTTGAAAACCACCGCCCCCAGGACCACCAACGCCCAGCCGCCATCGATGTTCGGTTGTGACTTCATCACTGGAATGCATAAAAGGTCTTCATCGAGGTGTCTAGCATATATAATAGAGTCACGTCCCGTCTGATGACAGCGTTACCTGTTTGGAATTAAGACATTTTAAGTACAGTAGGACAAGGTAAAAGTACCATACCGTTTGCTTGATTTATGAGATGTTTATATAAGTTGCATTTGTTTCCAAATAAATCTACAGCAGCAACTATGACTGATGAAAATGACATACAATGGTGCGACACCATCCATACCACATACATAGTGTTGCCGTGTTGTGACCTTCACCTTGCTGTTTCGAACTGCATCAGCTACCAAATTCTCCACATAGTAGGAGATGATGATGAAACGCATGCACGGTTACTTACTTCTGGAGCATCAGTGCCAGAGACCTTGACCTTTGACTAATCCTATCTTGCAAAACTAAAAATCATATCCGGTGACGACATATACCTCGAAAAGAGTATCCCATTATAACAATTATCCGTCATATCCCCTTTTTCCGTCACAGCATGAAGCGACAAATTCTATAGAAATTTATAAAACTGTAAACTATATTCAAATAATGATTGATATCAAGGAGTGATATACTTCAGTCGCCTCCGTTTATCTTATCAGAGATGTACAACTAATCATGACCAAAGGGAGGTAATTTCCAAATTCTAACATTGCGGTAAAATACATGGCTAAGTGATGCCACTAAATAACATAAATAACTGAATCCGGGTGTTTCTGATGTCGTCATGTCAAGATTGCACAAGCAGGGAGAAAATACATGGATGTAAAGCTACATGCCTACGTATAAAGGTATGGTTCAACACCTGTCGCTTGTGTCACGACTAAAACAACACATGTGCGTGGAGGCTGACATTTACAAAGATTTACAAATCTGTTGTATATATGTGTGAGAATTCCATGATAGCTACTCGGTTTACGCGTCCAATATCCTAATAACATCTTCAGACGCCTGTGGTAATACCACGCCCGACTGAGTTACCAGATGGTCGCTGAGGCGAGACATACAAACACACACAAGCGACGTATCGCCTGAAACAGCTGACGAACCACACCACCCTGGGCAGACAACATAGCTTGACAAAGATGAACCTGATTCAGAGGGTAATGAAAGATACTTCTCTGCGTGATGGTGGATGGTGGACAATATCCACTAGCAAGTACCTTCTGCTTAGACTAGATGTAAGACAATGTCCGTGAAAATGTCCCGCCGAGTCGTTCCATCTGTGGCCCGGCGTATTCACCACACATCTGTGAGGTCAGGTCAACTACTCCCAGCATACTTATCATAAGCTTTGTAAATATTGACACTGGTGCCCCTTCCCCGACCTCGGCTAATCTGCACGTCGATACGTCCTTTCACATTGCCAAGCCAGTCTCTCGTCCAAGACAATCATACAGCGATGAATTATCGCTTGTGTCACCGGGGAAGGTTTTCGTCTTGGGACGGGTATAGAACAGTACCCTGTTCACATTCGTGGTTACATCGAGACGACACTTTCTGTTATTATGAGTCGGATTTTGTAAGTAGGACAGCTTAGAATTACAAACATCTCACGTAATAGTGTGGACATTATGTTGAACCCTCAGTTATGAGGTGTTCTGTTTCAAGTTTCATGACTACGATATATGTGAGAGCAAACCCATATGTTGGGATTCGTGACTATGACTGATATTACATATACTCTATGTTACAGTTGACAAGATCACACAACATAACCTTTATACTTGTTCTGACTCTACAGACACTAGGGTGAGTTTTGGTTGTACGTAACTTGTTTGAACAGTGGGGATTAATACGTGAAACGCCTGGGGCTTGTTGTTACATATACAGAGTGTCTGGGTGGGGTATAAAGGAGACTGTGGATTCGATCATGCTTAACGTCTTAAAGCGCTGAGCTATTTGTTATTGTGTGTGTGTATTGATGTGTAACTCAAAACACTTGTGATGTGAACTTTGTATTTAAGTGAGTGAAAGAGTAAGTACAGTTTTGCGCAGCTTTCAGCAATATTCCGGCAATATTACGACGGGGACACCAGAATTGGGTGATACGTAGATAATTGGGTGGATGGTCTGGCGGGAATTATGAAGGTGGGTGGGTGGGTAGGTAGGTAGGTGGATGATCAGATGGTAAAGGAAAGGTGGATGGATAGGTGATCGGGCGGTAGGTAGGTGGGTTGGTAGGTGGGGTGGTCGGATGGTAAAGGAAAGGTGGATGGATAGTTGATCGGGCGGTACGTAGGTAGGTGGGTAGGTAGGTGGGTGGTTAGGTAGGTGGGTGGGTGGTCGGATGGTAAAGGGAAGGTGGATGGATAGTTGATCGGGCGGTAGGTAGGTAGGTGGGCAGGCAGGCAGGGTAGGTGGGTGGTGGGCAGGTGGGTAGGCAGGTGGGCAGGTGGGTGGGTAGCAGGGCAGGCAGGCAGGCAGGCAGGCAGGCAGGTAGGTGGGGGTGGGGCAGGCAGGCAGGCAGGCAGGTAGGTGGGTGGGTGGGCAGGCAGGCAGGCAGGCAGGCAGGTGGGTGGCTGGTGGGCAGGCAGGCAGGCAGGTGGGCAGGTAGGTGGGTGGGGTGGCAAAAAGGAAAGGTGGACGGATAGTGGATCGGGCGGTTGGCAGGTGGATGGGCGGGCAGGCAGGCAGGTGGGTAGGCAGGAAGGTAGGCAGGTGGGCAGGCAGGTGGGCAGGCAGGCAGGCAGGCAGGCAGGTAGGTGGGTGGCAGGTAAGTTGGTAGGTGGGTAGGTAGGTAAGTAGGTAGGCAGGTGGGTGGGTGGTCGGAATGTAAAGGAAAGGTGGACGAATAGTTGATCGGGCGGTAGGTAGGTGGGGTGGGGTGGGTAGGTAGGTGGGTAGTTAGGTTGGTAGGTAGGTAGGTAAGTAGGTAGGTAGGTGGGTGGGTGGTCGAAATGTAAAGGAAAGGTGGACGAATAGTTGATCGGGCGGTAGGTAGGTGGGTGGGGGTGGGTAGGTAGGTAGGTAGGTAGGTATCACTGGTCCAGCTCTCGCCTGGTTTAAATCATATCTTGAAAACAGATCTATGTGTGTTACAGTAGATAGTGTTAAGTCAGTATCCCACAGGCTACGGCATGGAGTCCCCCAGGGTTCTGTCCTTGGTCCGGTCCTGTTTTCCATTTACACTGCTCCTCTGGGAAATATCTTCAGGAATCATCAGCTGCAATACCACAGCTATGCAGATGACAATCAGTTGTATATTGCAGTTAAGCCAGGAGCAATATATGAAGCCATTTCAATGCTGAAACGGTGCATAAAAGACGTGCAAAAGTGGATGACATCCAACCAACTAAAACTTAATAACAACAAAACAGAATTCATCGTTATTGGCACCAAACAACAGCTTCATAAACTTGATAATTTTACCATTGATGCAGGGGGGCACTGTGTTTCCACATTGAAGCAAGTTAAAAACTTCGATCAAAATCTTTCTCCAGAGAGCCATGCCCTCCAGAACAGCAAACTTCCATCTAGCAAGCATTGGCAAAATAAGAAAGTATCTTGACCTTGAGACCAGCAGACTCCTCTTCCATGCATATGTGACCTCAAGGTTGGATTACTGCAATGCGTTGTTGGCTGGATTTAGTTCTATCTCCCATATGCAGAGGATCCAGAACAAGGCAGCTCGCATTGTTACAAGGACCAAACCTCGTGAGCATATCACGCCTGTTCTAAAAAAAATTACATTGGCTCCCAGTTCGGCTTAGGGTGGTGTACAAAGTCTTATCACTGACCTACGCTGCTCTACACAATGATAACTACCCTCTCTACTTAAGGACCTGATCCAGATGTATACACCAGGATGATATCTCCGATCTCAGAATATGTACAATCTTTCGGTTCCCTCAACATCCACTAAACTTGCTGATCGTGCCTTCTCCAAAGTTTCCCCTACCTTGTGGAACAATCTACCATTTGAACTCAAAACAGCAAGCTCTCACAAATCCTTCCAGAACTGTCTAAAATCTTTCCTGTTTAATCAAGCATATGATATGTAAATTATCTACTCTGTTCAGCGTCATTGAGCAGCTCAAAGTTATTATTATTATTATTATTATTATTAGGTGGGTGGGTGGTCGGATGGTAAAGGAAAGGTGGACGGATAGTTGATCGGGCGGTAGGTAGGTGGGCGGGTGGGTGGGTGGGTAGGTAGGTAGGTGGGTAGGCAGGTCAGCAATAGGCAGGTAGGTAGGAAGGTGGGTGGGTGGTCTGGACCGGTACAGGAAAGATTGAGATCATGAGCATTGATCGGGCGGTAGGCAAAGCTAGGGTTTGTTTATTGTTTCAAAACATTGCAATTCAGCAATATTCCAGCCTTATGTGGCGGTCTATACGACAAGCATGGGTTACTGAAGATCAGTTCTAACTCGGATATTCACTGTTATCAAGAGCGTATCAACCAAATCCCTGATAATTAACAGATCCATTATGTCGCCTCTTATGAAACATTCGTTATAGTTTCGGGGCCCAACCTCAACGATTCAACCTATCTTAGCCATGCTAGTAGTGCTGTAAGAATGCATCGAACTATCGATGGGTTGCAATTGTTGAGTCTCCGATAGCAATTAATCGATGGTAGAAACGAAAAACTATCGATGCATCGATAGTATGTGTGACTATCGATAGTTTTGTAATTGACTTCCGTTGATAAATGCGCAGCGCAAAATACAAGAGGTACCAGATTCGTTCACTTTGATTTAGAGTTATCCGCCCCTGTTATCTCTTAAACAAACATGGCGGCAAACACGGCATGCGACTCGGAGTTGTGAATTGTGAATAACAATAAGTTTATGTTTTAACTATTTACTTGATCTGGGTTTCAAGTTTGTTGTCAGTTATTACATGAGACTGAAACTACTTCAACTTGTATTTATTTTTTAAAAATACAATCATTTGGGAAATGATTTCAAATGAGACAATTCAAGGAGAGAAAAACTATTGCACTAGTATTGAACTAGTTGGTCGCAATAGACTATCGCTATCACAATA